TGCTCTAATTAATCAACTCAACAGAAGAAGCAAATTATAGGGTAATTGCTTCATAGATAGGTAGCCTTTATTCCTTTGATTTGAATATAATATAAGTTTTCGCTTTTGGGTACGTTGTTAGTATTGTTCCTCATAAGGTCCTCATAATCTATAACCTAATCTAATTAGCCTTAGTATAATTACCTTCCAAATTTTAGTTACAGTTTCAAGGTTAGGTGGGGAAACAAATTCTGCAAATGAACCAGGAAGGTTGTGTAATATTCTACCCGATTTAATGTCAGATTGTTTCAAAAACAATGGATTTTTAACACACACGTTTTATTAAAGTAAACTACAAAAATACAGCCATGTTGGAGGCCATGCCACTTCCACTTAACTTCCTTAAACTTCCTTAATCTTCCTTAATAAACACTACCTCTTATAATACTATCTACATAATACTTACCTTCTACATAATACTATCTCTTCCTTTCTCGAAACTTTAACATGTATATAAAACAATTTTAATGTTATATTTGTTGTTCCCCAGTTATTGTCCCAAAACTTATGTACAAGTTCATTTCGGCTTTTCCACAACATAATCTTTAAATTTATTCTTTGTTTGCAATCACGTGATCTACGGAAATTTGATTTTCATCTGACGGGCAAGTTTAACAAATATGGCGGCTGTTGTGTGCTTTGGGAGATATTTTAAAATCCAAAATGCCGGATTGCTGTTCGGTTTATCTATGTACCAACCGCTCGAACAAGAACAGGGATAAACGCTTCTTCAGAATACCTAAAGAAATCTCGCACAGAGGAGACAAAACAAGAGATATTTCAAAAAGACGTCGAGCTAAATGGCTTGCCAACCTGTCGTTGGTGACGAAAGGAGTTGAGTCTCGACATGCTCGTGTATGCAGCGACCATTTTGTTAAAGGTATTATAGCCCATAAATCTAGTTCATCAGTTGTTATATTTACTAGTGTAATTGCTTGTACACAACTCTTCTCATCTGATGTTTAATGAAGGTATATTAAAATACTTATATATAGTTACTGTATTATGTGTACTTGTCATTGGAAATCCTACTCCCCCTACCCTGGAGAAATGTAGAGAATTAGCCTTTTTGTAAGTTTTCCAATGACAAGTGCATTCTAAAAGCTACAAAAGCACTCCTTTCCAGGTTATCCAAGTGAACTATTTGATGAAGAAGATATTGATTGGGCACCAACAATTAACCTTGGGCATCAAAAAGTGAAACCGACTTCAGAATGTGCTTTGAAAAGGCGGAAAAGAGCAGTTGAACGAGAAGAGAAGCGACAACAAAATCAGGCAGCCCTTGCTCTCCTGTCTCTCCAGAATCCTCCACTTCCAAAGGATGTTAATGACTTATCAAGTATGGGTACATACTGTTAATGCAAATGACATTAATATTTTTACATTATGTTTGTTAATTTTCTACGAGTATCTAATTTATATCATAATGTATACTTGAACAGATAAATCATTGGAAAATGTCACAGATCGTGATGGCCCAACTGTTGTACGCACGAAAGAATGCCAAACATATGTTACTGCTGAGTCGTTGGAAGAAAGAGATAAAGAATTGGCTGAGAAAAAGCTTGAGCTACTTGACTTACAGGCTAAGGTCTCACTTACTGGACTTTCGAAGGAGGAATTTGCAAAGAGTGAAGCAAAGACCAGATTTTATACAGGTCTACCTAACTTTTTGGTACTGTGACAGGTGTTCAACCTTTGTGAAGCTTGGATATCTCACACTGACAGGTCAGCACTAACTAAATTTGAACAACTTATCTTGACTCTTATGAGACTAAAACTTAATCTTTCACTCCAAGACTTGGCATACAGATTTGGAATATCCACTGCGACAGCATCTAGATTTTCAAGAAATTGATATCTATTTTGCACTTGAGACTTCAGTTTCTGATTGAATGGCCTGAGAGAGAAATACTTAGGGCTACAATGCCCATGGATTTCAGAAACACTTTTGGAAACCAAATAGCTGTAATAATAGATTGCTTCGAAGTATTTGTAGAGAGACCATCTAACTTATTAGCCCGTGCTCAAAGTTGGTCAAACTATAAGCACCACAATACTGTCAAATTTCTTATCGGTATTGCACCTCAAGGATATATTACCTTCATATCAGATGCTTGGGGAGGAAGAGTTAGTGACAACATCTAACAGAGAAAAGCAAAATTCTTCAAAATCTTCTCCCAGGTGATGTTGTACTAGCAGATCGTGGATTAAACATTGAAGAGAATGTTGGCTCTACTGTGCCTCTCTTAAATACCAGCCTTCACAAAAGAAAAGTCACAACTAACACCTTTTGAAGTGGAAGAAACCCGAAAGATAGCTCATGTCCGCATACATGTGGAAAGAGTTATTGGGTTAGTAAGGCGCAAGTTTCAAGTCCTTCAAAGTAGAGCAATGCCCACCGAATTTTTGCACACACAGCCTGGAGAACAACATTCATTGATGACAAGATTGGAGTTGTATGTTGTGCTCTGACAAACCTATGTCAATCTGTGGTTCCATTGGAGTAAGAATTATTAATGAAAATCTACCTTATGTAAATAATTATATTAAAATATTTAGCAGTGTTTATAACTTAAATATTCAAGAGTTATACTGTAAGTTAAATTTAATTATTTAAGAATATTAAACATACATTTGTATTTATAAATTTGTGTACAAAATGATTACAAATCTTAAGTTATTGTGATATTTACTCCTCAGAATTTTTTAGCTCAAGGGCAGAAAATGGTTTAGAGAAAAATCTCCCTAATACTTCTGGCAGGATACACTTTCTAAAGAACAACTCTGCCTTAGGTACAACACTATCCCAAAATACAATATCTGGTAGGACTCGTTCTATGTAAATGTCATTCTCATTCCATACTATAAATCACAATAATCAATTTCCATAATGTGAATTTGTGCTTGAATTTGAAAGTAATAGGCATGGTTCTTGTCCAGCTGTATACCAGTTTCACTTTTGACCAGACAGAATCCCTTGTCACCTGCACAATCTACCAGGTTTTCCTTCTCCTTCTTGCAAAATGGACACTATACAGTGAGTGAAAAGATTGGAGTGATTTACATTAGAGAGGGTGACCTTACAATGTATTCAATCATCCCTAATGTATATATGCTTTTAAAGAATGAGTTGTATACCTTTATTTCACATGCTCCAATACCACAACAATCACACATGACCACCCCATCTGGTGTTGCACCCATAAATGACCATTTAAGGTTCACTCTTAACCCACTTTCACATACTGAAAATGTTTCATGTTGTTGGCACATGACACTTTCATACTTTTTCCTTGCAATACCCTCATGATTGCAACCATATCTAAAGGAATAAAATGCAAAATTATCAAAATATAAAATCAATACATTACAATAAAAAATTCTTGTTCTGCAAATAGTTATACCTGGTAGCTTCACTTGAAAACCTATATGCTTCTGGATAGCATATAGACTTAATCAACGACTTTGATGGTTTTTCTGGATTTGTTCGGACAACAGATTTAAGTCTTGATGCTGTGATTCGACCAGCTCTATGTGTAAACCATAGTTTTGAGTTGCTTTGCCTCCTGGTTTCTGCTTCTAAGACAGCTACTTGTTTTGCTGTTATTTTTAATGTTAGCTTCTGGCATTCATTCATTAATTGGTTGTGGTCAAGTTTTAATGATTCTTCTGATCCATAGCTCATAATAGGCTTTGGTAATACCTCAGTGGCTGACATAGGTATAAATGAGGAATAATAGAGTCGTTTTGACATTAAACAGGCACTTTTGGGAAAGTTCTTATTCAGGGTTTTAAAGAACTCATGGTATTCCATTGATCCATGTGCAACTGTGGGGCATGGTGGCTTTGGTTGTTGTATTGTAGGGGATGACTTTCCACACATAGCATTATCCATCTTTTGTTTTTTTGCCTTTGCTGAGGATAGGTCCATTGTTTTGACTGATGCAGGTTCGATCTGCAGAAAAACATACAATACAGCTTAGTACTATTCATGTGCACTGCATATATAATGGCAATTTGTTATTTAATCTACATGCACTTCTCTAACACTATAATAATAATATTGCTGTTATGAAGCAAACCTTTTTCATAGGTGCTGGCATCAACCACTTGCTTTTTTCCATCGTACAGGTAATAGTTTCACGTGTCCGCACTGCTGTTTCAATGAAATATAGCACTGCTCCTACATGAGAGCAAGACTCTGCCAATCTATATATGAAACAAATGTTTTAACCTTGTGTTTAATAATACACTACTGATACTTCAAACTCACTAATTTGCAAACGAAATTTATAGATTTTACAAACCCTGCCATGCAATTGCAATGTCCTGTCAGTACTTCACCATCTTCCTTCATTATCACCCAAGTCTTTAACGGTGTTTCTGTAGATCTCTGGGAGTGATTAACCTGTTCAAAACAAAAAAAAATTTGAGCAAATGAACCAAATTATACAATATAAATTAAATTCCTTAATACTTAAAACTGTACGGTACCCTTGCCATTATTAGTTGGTTCCCATTCTTTAATTTCTTTATACCAGTGCCGTGTACCCATCCACATACAAAAAAGTTGTACGCCTCAAGACTCTTGAAAGCCTTCATCTGCTGTTTTGAGTAAAAGGACGTTTGGATAACGAGATAATTCGAGATATCTGGAAATTCCAGATTCGGTAGGTCCTTGAAGTCTGTCGAAAAACTGTTTTTATTCATAGGGATCTATACCATCACATAATGTGATCTTTTCAATGTATCTCGCTTTTACATTGGGTTCTAACTTGTAGAAATAATCTGATAAAGAAGAGGAAGTGGTCGAAGATGTCGAATGACTTGACTCTGGAGCAGCCGCCATATTTAACTTGCCTAAACTTGCCCGTCAGATGAAAATCAAATTTCCGTAGATCACATGATTGCAAACAAAGAATTAGGTAGCCTAGTAACACGTTTTGGTCTGACATGCTCTATGGCCGTTTCCAAAGGTTTTCCTCTATGGCCGTTTCCAAAGGTTTTTCCCCTAAACTTTCACTCGCTTGCTCACTGTCACTTGGCAAATCCACAGTCAACGGTAAACTCGACTCTTCCGGTAAGATAAATGGTTTCACAAACGAACTATCTCTTCGGTATACTTCTCCATCCTTTGACTTTAGCATCAGCTCCTTTCCTTCTTTTGTTACTACGGTATACGGTTCTTTCTCATAATTAGGAGCTAACTTTACGGTTGTTTTGGTATTCTTTAGCAAAACTTGATCACCTGGCACAACTGGATTACGAGAAGCTCTGTTCTTTTCGTCAGCATATGCTTTCTGATTCAATTTGTGGCTCCAATCTCTCTCTTTCGTTGCTTGGTTTTGTATGCTGTCTTGACGTCTCAGCTCCGGGAGTTTCGTCTTCAACTCTCTTCCAAACATCAGATATGCTGGCGTAACACCAGTACTGACTTGTGGTGTACTACGATATGCTAAGAGAAATTTTGGTAACTCTTCTTGCCACTTCTTTCCTTCTGCTTCTGCTACTTTTAGGGATTTTAGAAGTGTTCTATTCTGTTGCTCCACTTCTCCATTTGCTTGAGGCCACAGCGCTGGGGATTTCCTATGTTCTATTCCGTTTTCCAGCAGGTATTTTCGAAACTCTTCGGATACAAATTGAGGACCATTGTCCGACTTTAAAGAGTGTGGAAAACCAAACCTTGCAAAGATTTGAGTTAAAGCAGCGATCACCTTTTGAGTTGTTGTTGTGCACATAACAATGACTTCGTAATACCTGCTATAGTAATCAACCACGACTAACAAACTTTCTCCAGATGGCATTGGACCCATTAGATCTATTGCAATGTCTTGCCAGGGTCCCATGGGCGGTTCAGTTCTCATCATTGGCTCCGGAGGGCTGAATTGTCCCACAACTTGGCATCCTTGACAAGCCTTGCACATTTTCTCAGCATCCGCATCCAATTTTGGCCACCATACTTTCGTTCGCAAACGACTTTTTGTTTTTACAATACCCTGGTGCCCCTCGTGAGCCAACTTTAGGACTGTTTTTCGTAAGTTCTGCGGTATCACAATTCTGTCTCCGCGAAGCACGAGTTTCCCAATTACACACAATTCATTCTTTACACAAAGATAACTTGGCATCTTACATTGTGACCAGTCTCCCGTTTGGACATAATGACGTACACTCGACAACTCAGCGTCTTTCTCCGACTCTCTTTCGATTTCTCTCGGTGTCAATGCTACTGGTGTACTTTCTTGCACCACCAGCCTGATCATCTCCTCTGTTTCCCTACTGACATCCTTTGGTTTGGGTTGGTTCAGCCTGGACAAAGCGTCTGCGATATTGGAACTCCCTGGACGGTAGACTACTTTGTAGTTATGGCACTGCAATCGGAGGACCCAGCGCTCAATCCTTGCTGATGGCTTCGACGATTTTCCGAAAATGCATTGCAGTGGTTTGTGGTCTGTTTCCAATTCAAACTCTCGCCCATAAACATAAAGGTTAAATCTTTTGCAGGCCCAAACAAGAGCCAGCGCCTCTTTCTCCGTCTGGGCATAGCGTCGCTCGACCTCAGTTAAATTCCTCGAAGCGTAAGAAACTACTCTCCACTCTTCTCCATGAAGTTGTAGTAAGACTGCACCCAAACCGTCGGGACCCGCATCAGCTACAATTCTGGTCTTGTACTCATTCTGAAAATAAGCGAGTGCTTTACTTGTTGACATAAGTTGCTTCAGCTTCTCAAACGCTTTTTGTTGTTCACTACCCCAGACGAAAACATGTCCCTTTCTCAACAGTTTACGTAATGGTTCCGCTTCTTGGGAGAAATTCGGTATGAATTTGGCTGAATACTGTACAAGCTGAACAAATGATCGAACTTCTGAGATGTTCTTTGGTGGTCTGGCATTCACAACTGCTGCAATCTTTTCCTCACTAGGTGCGACTCCCTTGTTACTTAGTTCGTGTCCAAAAAAGGTTAACTTATGAAGTCTAAATTGGCACTTCACTTCATTCAAGGTCATGCCACTATCCCTCAACCGTTGTAGAACTTCTCGCAGATTACTATCATGCTCTTTCAAATCACCTCCATACACAATCAAGTCATCAGCAATGTTAGCTACTCCCTTACACCCACGTATGACGTCCGATATAATCTTCTGGTACTTCTCAGGAGCGGATGTTATGCCAAACATAAGTCTTTTGTACCGGTACAACCCCCGATGAGTTACAAAGGTTGTGATATCACGCGATTGTTCCTCCAGCTCAATTTGGTGAAACCCCCATCTCAAATCGAGCTTGCTAAAAACGGTTGCACCGTTGAGATCGTACAAGATTTCTTCAATTGTAGGAATAGGGTGTCTTTCCCGTACTATTGCTTCGTTTGCTTTGCGCATATCAATGCACACCCGCACGTCACCGTCTGGTTTTGGTACCACCACAAGAGGTGAGACCCACTCTGTCGGGCTGTTCGGTACTTCCTCGATAATATCTTTTGCCAGTAGATCATCCAATTTCTGGTCCACTTTGTCTCGTAAACCAAATGGAAGTCTGCGAACCCCTTGTGCAACTGGCTTCACCTCCTTGTTGATGTGCAATTTTAACTGATAATCCTTCAGTTTTCCCACTCCTTCAAATACATCTGAATACTCTTTACGGATATCTTTATCACTCCCTTCTGTTGCAATCGAACAAACTTGCGCTCCATATAAAGGACCCACATGCAACACTTTAAGCTTTTCTGCTGTACACTTCCCAAGTAAAGGTTTCCCCGCACCTTTTATCACCGTGAATTCATCTGTGCATTTCTCACCGCTAGCTTCACATACAATTTCAGATACAAATGTCCCAGCAACTTCAATGGGGTCTTTCTGACCATAGGCGAATAACTTCTTCTCCGATTTTGTTGACTGACACTCAATGTTATTTTCCTTCAGTTTACTCCATGTTCCATAATCAATCAAATTACATGATGCCCCCGAGTCAATTAGTACACCGTCCAATTGAACTCCACCAATCATAAGAGTAATCTCGCCAACACCTGCTTGGCCTTTTTCAATGACGAATGCATAATCCTCCCTGGCTCTTGGTTTTTCCTCTTCATCAACACGATACACTTTCTTCTTTCCGGCTTCATTTCCTTTCTTATGCCATCCTTTTGGATTTTTAGTGTCCCGCTTTCTGCAGCATGCAGCAAAATGCCCAGTAACACCACATTCATTACACTTTTGATCCCTAGCGGGGCAAGTTTTATCCCTAGCGAAATGACTGGTGTGGTTACAGTTGAAACATCTTTGCTCAGTCCCAGTTCCCTTGCGTTGACCACTAACGTTGTTTCCATCTTTGTTTCCCTTCTTGCCTTTCTTAAAACCACGTCCCACTGAGTTTACCTGCCCCTCCCCTGGTTTGTGTTGCGAACCAGGCTGTTCCAAGGATTTCATCTGAATTTCTACTGCTTCAAATGCTCTTGCAATCTCCTGCAAATCCTTCAAACTTGCGTTAGCTCTCTCATCTTTGCTTACTCTGTTACATATTTTTTGTGCCATGTCACAAGAAATATTCCTCCCTTTACTGCCATGCCAGTTTACAGATCGTCCCCATGTGAGCCTATGTGCCATTTCCTCCGATGCGTTAGCTTCAATTTGGGCAACTTGTGAACATGTCTAGTACATAGTTATGGGAATTTGCTGATTTGAAATATAATAGTAATAGCTTTTCGTTGATGTTATTCCTCAAACCATCTCCTTCATTGCATTATCGATAAGTTGCATCAAGAAGACAGCTAACTGTATTATTTTTAAACCATAAAACCTGCCAACATAAGATAAAACTTTGTTGGTTTAAGTACTTACATTAGTTAAAAATACCATTAAATATGAATAGTACAATTGTGATATATAAACATCAATGCGAGCATGGTGCACAATTGTGCATTAATTTAATTAATTTTGTTATTAAACTTTACTGGTGAATTAGTGGATGACATTATGATGGCAGAGTACCATAAAAAACATCTGAGATTTTTATTGTAGCAAACAAAGTTATATATACCAGATTCTATCTGGCTCAGTATCTTGAAAATGTTTATCATCACCAAATACAAGCCTTTCAACATCAGTATGATTAGGTTTTTCTTTCTCAGGGTCTGGGATAACAAACTCATTAACAAATGCACTGATGACTCTGTCAAATGATTCCATTTTTTTCTCTCTCCATATGCATGATTTTATGTGGTGGTATGTGTTTTGCTGGAGGACCATTCACATCTTTCAGTCCTTAAAACTCCATTGCAGCTTCCAGAATGTATGCTTTCCCAAAACTCAATAAGAACTGCTCTGTAACCTCATATGAATTTGTAACCTTTTGAGGTGTCACATTTAATCGATCATATTTCTCTCTGAAGTATTTCAAGGTACCAATTTCTCTTACAGAACCAGAGTTGTGAAGGAGTTTGTAGACAAACTAAAAAACACAAAATTATATTGAACATACATGTACAGTGCATTATATAGTTTAATATTTCATCTGTGTTTGAAACCCTATAGAATAAAACATTCAGGGCATGGTGAAGTTATTTCTGTAATTATTAAACAGGTCAGCCTATTGGGTGCAAGGTATCCTGTGAAACAGTTGCTTTATTGATAAAAGCAATTTTATCGATTATCAATGTTAATCAATTTTAAAAGAGATTACTGCAAAACTTGAATGTATATGAATAGGTACACCCCAATTATCAAGTTAGCTATGGGCTATGTCAATGATTTTTCACCAACTATATATAATTACTTGACTTTCTACTTTTATATACCTGCAGGTAGGATATTTTGGTGTGAAATAACTCAAGAGACAAATGGACTGCAGTGATCCAGTCGTGCCTTTGCTGTATGTGATCCTGCCTGCAAGTCTTTTGCACCAGCAAATCTCACGCGGGCCATTTGATCTCCTCCAAATGGAACTGATCATGACAACTTTCATGTGGTCATTTTCATCTAATTTATTGAAGTGTGGCCCTGGTTGATCTGGTCTGGATGACTGCCCTTTAATTGATGCCAAATTCTGTTTTGCTTGTTTGGTTGGCTCTTGAATGACTCCAGCTTTAGTATAGATGTCCTCCAGCTCATTCTCGTAATAATCCAGGATCTCAACGACCTCACTGTACCTCTTTTCATTTTTTAACTGCATGGGAAGAGGAACAATAATGGACTCTGTAGACATCTCTTTTTGGAATTTATGTGATACATGATCAGGTATTACACTGTTCAAAAATGACAAACTTTCAACTCAAGAGGTGAGCACTCTTCCAACCAAAATTTTGAAATCTTCATTTAACTTAATTTCTTCATCATAATTTAGTAGAAAAACTGAATTTGGCAGTTTTTTGATATCTCTACGATACTCTTTCCACAATCAGGTTAGACGCAAAGTAATAAAGATCTTGGTTTTGATTGGACGACTGCATATCATGAACGTGAATTTTCATGTCCCAATTATCTCCAGTTCCTTGCAACCTCTTACCGTCCTTAATAACTTCCATGATGCTGTCCGAAAAGTGTTTGGCGATTATTGTCTTGCTTTGATTTGATATTAATGCTCGCAAAATACTCAATCATTCTATCTCTGGGTTCCGGAAAGGACACTCAACGACATCAGTGTTACTTCGCATTAGAGATGACATCATCAATGCCATGAAAAAGGGAGAAATCACCTTAATAGCTTTTCAGAATTTCTCCAAAGCCTTCGACACAGTTAATTATTCCATGATGTTGAAGAAACTTCATGCGATTGGCTTTTCGCGGGACATGCTTACATTGGTTACAAATTATCTTAGCAACAGACAACAATTCGTGCAAGTGAATGACAAGCAGTCAAATAAATTAGCAACACAATTTGGTGTCCCACAAGCGTCCATTCTAGGTCCCATACTTTTTAACCTCTATGTTAATGACCTGCGAAGGATTGCAAATGTTTGTGCTTCCAATATGCGGACGATACTACATTTTATGATCATTGTGTTCCCAACGATTTGCTAGCCTGTGCTGGAAAGATGAACAACACCATGTTGTAGAGAAGTGGGGAAGTAATTGTAATCTACTTCTAAACAGTGCTAAGACTAAGCTAATGATAATTTCCACACAGTCCTTATCCCGAGTCCACGATTTAGTTTCTTTTGCTCCAGCCGTGACTATCACAGGCAAACAAGTCGAGAAGGTGCCTAATTTTAAGCGCCTAGGATCCCACATTAATGAAACCTAAAATGGAACGAGCATGTAAAATAAACTGTACCATCTTGCTATGGAGTGTTATCGACCCTGAGGAAATTGAAAAACCTTGCACCCTTTTATGTGAAAAAACCAATAGTAGAAAGTCTCGTCTTATCTAAGATTGACTATAACGATTTGTCCATTACCCACTACCAGCTTATCTTAGTCAGAAACTACAGCGTGTCCAGAATGCCATGGCAAGTTTTGTCTATAATAGATATTGCATGATCATATCAATGCATGTTAATTTGCGCTATATAAGTAGTAAATGATTAATTATATTGTAGGGAACTGGACGTTTTGTTACTTGGTTGGCTTCCTTTAATTGAACGAGCACAATACCACCTCCTTCGACTTACACATAAAGCCATTTGGGATCCCAACTGGCCTGAGTATTCCAATTTACGTATACGCAATACAAGCAGAGACTTACGATCAAGCTCTTTCATGACGTTGGAAACTCCTTTGGAAACTGGAACATTTCAAGACAGTTGTGCCAAGCTATTTAATAAACTAGACCCACACTGAAGGAATGAGAATAACATTAGGATTTTTATGCGAAATGTCAAAACAATGCTGTTTGCCACAGCTAAGGAGAGACTAGCGTCTAACTAATACCTTCTCTTACCAATTAATTTAATGTATTATAATTTCTTTTAACTTTTATTTTTTATCATTGAAGATGTAGAGCTACTTTGTAGATATGCTTCATTAAACCGTTATTATTATTATGTGATAAAGAGAAAACACTGAAAATTCTGAATACAGGTAAGAAGGTCTGTATCTATAGGCCGACGCACACTAGAGCTATGTGCTTAGCAAAAAGTCATTCGTGGCCATTGGCCTAAGCCAGTTGCTCTTGTGTGCGGGTGACTTTTCCGGCGACTTTTGGCACGAGTGAGGAAAGTCACCGGAAAAGTTGCCCGCACACGAGAGCAACTGGCTTACGCCAATGGCCACGAATGACTTTTTGCTAAGCACATAGCTCTAGTGTGCGCCGGCCTTATGGTGTCGGTTATAATTATAATTACTGTATATGCATATTTTATATAGTATACCTCTGTTTTCACATCATTCACGTCTACAGTGTTCAGTCTTTGAACCAAACCTAGCTCTTGATTCCTTGTCTGCATCAAAATGGAGTAACAAACACTAATTCTTGGAAAAAACTCACTTAATTCATCCTCAGATACATTCATGACTGTGAGGAGCAACTCAAGTAAAAATGGGCAACGACTAGACATCTCCGATGCAATTTTTGGGCATGTGCGTCAGGTGTTAGCAATATGTTAAAGATGAAAAAATTGGTAGGGTTTGACCAGTCTGGTCGAATAATTATGACTAAAACAACATGCAACTACCAACCACATTGCATGTGATGATGCAAAAAAATGCTGCGACCGTTTGACCAAGCCTTCTCATGCAGAGAATTGAGAAATAGCAACAAAATATACGATGGTTAAACTGTTTTGACAAGTTCCGAATATTATTCCTACAGTACTGCCAAGAAATAACTTATCAAAATCCGTGTACAAGACGCAGGTAATTTGCGTCTGCTCTGCGTCCACAAATGCCCGCGGGTGTGTCCAGCCCGCGTCTGTGGGCACTTGGACGCAATTAGAATAATTTATTTTCGGAAATCGTTTGATTTTACTGTGGGCGTCGAAAGAAACATTTCACCTACAAATGCGTTATTATCGCAATCTCCAACTTTCAGCAGTTCCTTGAGAATTATTTTTGTAAGAATAGCGATGGTAAAGCTTTCCCAATATGCAAGGAATCGAGTAGTTACATTAAGTAAGGCCAATATTTCAATTGTGAATATTGTAAACATCCTGGAAGAAGAGGGCGGAATTAAAACATCCTGGACAAGCGTTCCTTCGCTTGCGCGAAGAACGAAATGTAATTGCTTCGACTTCAACAATACGAAGTGTAAGAAGAAAAAAGCTCAATTGGAAACACGAAAGAACTCGCTACTGCCAGCTAATTTGTGACAGAAATAAAAGAAAACGCTTAGTATTTTGTCTAAAAGCGATGAAAGAGAAAGATAGCTTTGAGAATGTTATCTTTACAGATGAAACCAGCGTAGAAATACTACAGTATACCAGGTACTGTTCCAGAAGAAAGGCAGTTTACCAAAACGTAAAGGAAAGCCAAAACATCCACTTAAGGTACTTTATTCACATAATTCTACCTGGTAGTAACAAAATGAAAATTGGATCAAAAACGTATATGAATGTATCAAATTTTGATTATGTTTCACTATTTTTAGGTTCATGTATGGG